ACAAACAGAAAACAAAGAAAAATACTCAAACATTTTTGTTATATTATTTTAACAAATTCCAATTTTAATACACATTTATGACATAATGTTGCGAAGTAATAGTCTACACAACAATATGTCTCATGAATATTATAATATTCATCAAATGGCTGTGAGTGGCGATGTATTGGAAGATTTTACCATCATATTCCGTGATATGATGAGTATGGTATGTAAAAAATACTAAATACAAACAATTGTTTAGTAATTTTTAATTAAGTTTTTTTTTGAAATAAATAGCAGTAACATATTTTATTTTCAAGGCTCTCCTCTAAAGAAATAAAAAAAATTAAACTCGTTTTGTTATGGTATTTCCCCTTTGGTGTTTTAAATAAACGTTACTATGAATAATTTAAATTAATTTTAAAACAGTTTAGCGTATATGATTCACATTTTATTACTGGTATTTGGGATTTCTTAGAATTTGTGTGGTTTTATTTCCAGTTTAAATATTTTGTTATCAATTTTTATAATTGTTTTTTTTTTTGCAATTTTTTATTTCTTAGTTCTCTTAAGTTCTAGACATTTCCTTTTAGTGCTCTTGTTTATTAAAGATCAATGAATCTACAATATAGCTGCTATTTTAGTGCTCTTTTTTTGTTCTTTCATTTGTATTTCATACGCATTTGTATCTCAAAAAACGCCTTCGTTTTATATGTTAGTATATGAGTTCACACATACAAAAAATAACTCTAAACTTTGCTTAGCAACAGCGTAAATATAATTTCTTTAAATTGACAGTGATTCCCCTATAAATGTGATTGGAATTTTAAACGACATACTTGTTGAACTTAAAGCAACAAGTGCACATATTGAGTTTTATCAGTTAACTTGGTTACGAGGTTTACAGTTTAATGATACAATATAAAAATGGTAGGAAAACAAGGAAAATATTAAGTTTTTATTAGTAAAACAAATAAAATTATAAAAAAATCATAACGAAAATTTGAAAATAAAACTAATTATGTTTGGGCTATTCAAATGTTCATGTTATACAGGTTCCACTTTCAAAATTTATTTGTATGCTTTGTTGACGGCATACATATGTAGCTTACCTATACATATTTTAATGCGTTTCAGCCATTTAAATTCATATACATATATTCGCCAACATATTTCAAAAAGTTTTCGTTAGGAATTTAACATTTGCTAATGCGAATTTTAATAAAACTTTGTTAAGACGCTTGTTGCCAAGTGTGTTCGTCAATAGATCTAAACATGTTCAAAGAAGAAAGAAGAAGAAAAAATTAGAAACTATTTTTTAATTTACTGTCGAATAGATCGCATTTATACACGTTTTATTTATTGAGGTTGGTCGTTTGGATTGGCTTTTTTTAAATGCCATCAAAGTGGTTAATGTTTTTTAAGTTTTAGATTTATTTTTAAAAATATGACTCATGCTCAAAATTCATAAATATATTAATATTCATTTATTTAAGTACTTCCATATTATAATGAATGAATGAATAAGTGGGGGCTTGGCTCTATACACCGTAATTTTAAACAAAAAAAAAAAAATAATGTGGAAAAAAATTGTTTAAATTGAATTATTTTTCACTTTTACGTTGCAAATGTATTTCGTATTTAGGTGGGGGCACAACTTATATTACGTCAATGAAATGTATACAAATGATACAATATTTTTTATTATGTTATTTTTTTAAATTAAAAATTATCTTCTCTTGTGACTCTAGACAGTAAACAACAATAAAATTAACAAAAAACTACCTACGTCAGTCAAATCAAGTTGTTTATTTAAATAAATTCCCATAAATATTTTTCACACTTTTTATTGTCAGTGAATAGGTCACTGATTTTTTTGTTTTCTTGTTAATAATACGTTGCATTTATTTTTATTGATAAATAAATATTACATAAATAAAATTGAGGCCATTAAGTAAAACGGCCTTTACTTGGTATTTCTTGTATTTTGGCCAAAAGTATTTTATAGTTTTCCAACTTTTTTTCGTTTGTTATTTAACCGGTTTTATAAAGCTTTTTTAGATGGTTTTTACTACTCAATAAGAGTATTTCTCTTTATGAAAAAATTCATTCATAAAATTTTCACTGTTTACCTTTAACTAATTTGTTGTGTAAACAAATTATTGATAATTTATACATATATTTTGTTAAATGTTTGTTTTTTGATCATTTAATAAATTTTAACAGCTATATAGGAATTTTCCTTAGTACATTAATTATTTTCCGCTTGATGACTTTTTCAATTATCATTAATTTTTTATTTAATAAAATTGTATTTTTGCAAAATATGTTTTTTGGAAAAATACTTTAGATTTTAGATTTGTTTTTTATTTATAATAAAGAAATTTTTTTAGTATTTTGCACTAGCCGTTTTGGTATTAAAGTGTTAATTAAACAAGTTAAAAATTTTCTCGTGATTTTATTTTTTATTTGTAAACGAATATTAAGCAAATTTAAAAAAATAATAAACAAAATTTTTACAATAGATTTTGTTCAAACTTTTCTAGAATTTTTTATTATTAATAAAATATTTTATGAAAATTTAATTTCTTTTAAGAAAAACATAAATAACTAATAAATAATTTTATTTACACAATTTTCAATGAACCATTTAAGTTTTTTTTCGTAAAATTTCAAATATATTGACATTTCCCATTAACAATTAAGAAAACAATCTTTCTTAGCAACTGCTTTAAATTATTGCATCAGCAATTCTAGTTTCAACTTGTATAAATTTACGCTTTATAGAAATGTTGAGGAAAAAATATTTATATATATAAAATGTTCATGGTTCTATAAAGATAATAAAAACCACACACTCTTTTTCCTTATCCTCTCCCTCTCTCTTAAATGTAACATACACAGATACAATATTTATATGTGTGATTGTATATCATGGTGACATTTTTAAAATGATGTCTGGGGCTACAGGTTTTCGAACTTTAAAACAACTTAAACAATATTTACAAGGTTTACTTACAATCATTAATTTATATTTCCAAAAAAAAAATTAAAGTTTGGAGCGTAATTTCTGTTTGAAAATTAAACTTGTTATTTATTTTTTTTTTAACAGAAATTTATAAAATTTTATTTAAAATTTTTTAGTTTCGATAGTATTTTTTATAATAAAAAGTTCTTGTTGAAGGTTTTTAGTAATTTGGGGATTTTTAATAATATTCCAATTCTATAACTTGGATTTTTATATATGTACCTACAACATTGAAAAAGTTTTTTATATTTCTGATTTCCTGTTATAAAAATGTCTTAGAATTCGGTAGTTTGGTTTATTAGCCAAAGTTATGGCTGTTTTTGCCATCATTCATTTGCCAATTTTATTTTCTTAAGTATATTTACATATTTAAATGTACATACATATGTGGCCAATACATAAAATTTAATTACGTAGTATTTTCTTAGTTAAATTTTCTCTCACCCTCTCTATTTCTTTACAATATTTAATGATAGATGCTAACAAATGCGGAAAATTTAAATGTTTTGTGTTTCTTTTGTGTGTATTTAAAACAATTCTAATTTTTCTTATTTATTTTTTTATATATTGTCCGTAAATGACATTGACACTGCAAATTGAATTGCTTATGTATTTCATTAGTACATATATAAAATTGTCTGCCTGTTATTTGTATATTTTGTAATTATGTACATACATCAGAAATTAAATAATTTTCTTTGCGTTTGTCTTTTTAAAAATATTTTGCATTTATTTTCGTATGTTGTCAGCTTCCAATTTTCTTCCTACCTGCAAATGTTAGTGTTTTTGTTTTATATAATATGTTTATTTTTAGAATTTGTTTTGTTTTAACAGAACAGTGTTCTTACGTTAAAGATTAACAAAACAGCCTTATTTTTTTTAAAGAAAACAGCAGTAGTTGCTAGAAATCTTAAGTTTAACAGTTTTCATTATTAACAGCAGGATTAAAACAGATGTTTTTAAAATTAAAAAAAAAATAAAATGAAGAAATGTGTACATTTGTTGTCAAATAATTGATCAAATCATTCTATGGTTCATATTTTAAGTTTGTAAACTAAAAGATTCGAGGGTTTTCAAAAGAATAGAGAATATGTTTGTCTTTTTAAGGTCTGGCTGCAATCAATAATTTTGATTTAAATCTCAAAAATTCACAACTTTTATTTGTCTTACATGCAAAAATAATTCGATGTTTATCTCCCATGCAATTTTCTCTCTTTGATTTATTTTCTATTACGTTTATGCAATTTTCAATTACAGACATTTAACATTCATTTATACACACATACAGTTACATAGTATGCCTAAAAACTTGTGTAAATATACTATATTTTTTTCACCATTAGAAGTGTAAAAAATTGCTCTTTTCTCACTAGAAAGCTCCACAACATTGCATTTGTTTACTCTTAAATTTAAGGTGTAAATAAAATAATGCAAATAATTTTGTCAGCTTTTTTATTTTGTTTAATTTACAAAAAGAAAACTGTTTTTATTTTTTCCCCTTTTGATTGTTAGTTTTTGTTTTTAATTCACTTGCATTCGAAGGCATACATTTTAAGAGCGCAGTTTTTATTATTTTAGTATCTAGTAGATGCTCGATTCGTTTATATAAAATAATAATAATAAATGATTAAATCAGTGTATCATCAACGACTATAATGTCTATTACGTGATTTTTTAATTTGTTTTTTTTAGTTGAGTTTGTTAAATGTAATGAATTGCAATAAATACATAGTAATTTTGCAACAACCATAAAAATAATAATAGTAATAATACAAATTGGAAAGTCAGAGAAAACTAATAAAAACGAAACAAAAACATTTGGAATTATAAAAATCAATTCAAAATGCTTATACAAATATTACATGATGAGGATGAGCCTGTATGTATGCTGTAAAAAAATATAAATATTATTAGTTTTATATTAAACGAAAGAAATTCTTTAACTTTAATTAAATTAATTAATAATTTGTAATCATCTGTATAATTTTAGTACCTCGATATTGGTGAGGATATGAACGTACCTGATGACTTTACAGCAACAGAATTACAAAGTGGCATGTGGTGGCGCCATTTGGCAGCTGGTGGTGTTGCTGGTGCTGTATCACGTACATGCACAGCTCCCTTAGATAGAATAAAAGTGTTTTTGCAGGTAAATATCTTGCTATTAATATTTATACTTAAATGAAATTTATTAATGTAATTCTCTATCACTCTCTCTCTGCTTTCAGGTCCAAACACACAAGACAGGAATCTCAGATAGTTTAAGATATATGCTTAAGGAGGGCGGTTTACGTAGTATGTGGCGTGGTAATGGTATTAATGTTATAAAAATTGCCCCCGAATCGGCTATAAAATTTGCTGCCTATGAGAAAATTAAACGACTGATACGTGGCGACGATAAACGTCAAATGACAATTGGTGAACGTTTTATGGCCGGTGCTGCAGCCGGTGGCATTTCACAGACCGCTATCTATCCCATGGAAGTATTAAAGACACGTTTAGCTTTGCGCAAAACCGGCCAATACAGTGGTATTTTGGATGCGGCGAAAAAGATTTACGTCCATGAGGGTTTACGCAGTTTCTATCGCGGTTACATTCCAAATATGTTGGGCATTATACCATACGCGGGCATTGACTTGGCCGTCTACGAAACACTAAAGAAGAATTATTTAAGTAGTCACAATACAGAACAACCCAGTTTTCTAGTATTACTAGCGTGTGGCAGTGCATCCTCAACATTGGGTCAAGTGTGTTCATATCCTTTGGCACTAGTGAGGACACGACTACAAGCTCAAGGTAATTTGAAACATTGTTTATTTGAATATCTGGACTTAGATTTAACCTTTCAATTTTATTTCCATATTCCACAGTCGTGCTTAAATCGAAACAAAGTGGATCACCTATGGGAGGCATACCCTTGAAACAAGCTGGTGCTGGCAACGATGACAACATGTTTGGCGTATTTCGTAAAATTTTACGGACAGAGGGCATTTGTGGTCTTTATCGTGGCATAACACCCAATTTCATAAAGGTTCTACCAGCCGTTTCCATAAGTTATGTGGTCTATGAATACTCTAGCAGATGTTTGGGTGTTAATATGACATGATGTGTTTGCTACAAAACAATCATTATTTATATGACTTGCTACATTAAATTTACATCCGAACAAACAAACAAACTAAATAAATCAGCAGCTGTGCTTGCTCTCTTTTCTTCGTCATCTTCTTCCCAAACTACTATCGATCTAACATATATTTTAAACTCTCTTCGCCCGTCACCTTTCACACCACCACCATACCCAACAACTCTAACCTTACTACATATATAAATTATATTACGTTTACTGTAATCATAACATTTAAAAAAAAAAAATTAGCCTTAATTTAGTTTAAATTATTCTTATTCTAATTCTAATTCTAATTCTAATACTATATTTTTATTTGTATTGTATTTGTTAGTAATGTTTTTTTATTATGAATACAAAAGAAAGAAAACAAGTAATTGAAAGAATGCAAGAGAAGAATGATAAAAAGAAAGTTAATTTAATGCCAAGAAAAAGCTAAATGAAATTATTAAAGAAAAAAACAGAAAAAAAATAAACTTTCCTAAGTGATACTATTGCTAATATTACATATATAATTAAAAAGCTAATACAAATAATAGTAAACAAACCAACAAATAAAAGATTAAACATTAATAACCTAAAAAACAACCTATACATACCTAAAAATATATTTATTGAAATGCTAAAGAAAAAATGTTATAGGATTTTTTTGATGGTATTTAAATTAAATTAGTTATTTTTAATTTATTTATAATAAATAAATAACTGCTTTAAACTTTGACCTCTTTTAAGATAATTGAATTACAATTCTTTGTTTTTTATATTTATAAATAAAGTAATCCTTTAATTTTTGTATAGATTCCAAATACTTGTAAAGTTAATTTATCTTAATATGAAAAAAAAAACAACAAATAAATATAAATAGCAAATTTTTTAAAATTAAATACAAAAAAAAATTAATTTTTTATTTATCTTTAAATAACTTGGAAAAGAGTCTTTTTCTTTGAAAAAATGAAACTAAAAACTACTATATTTATGAGGCTGAAAAAAGGGTTTTGTAGCTTTGTTAATTTAGTTTTTTAACTTATTTTTGATAAAAAAAAAAAACAAAAAACAAAAAAGCAAAAAATAATTATAACACACAAACTTAAAGTTAACTTAAAATTAAAAACAAGAAGAAATTCTCAACGATATTATTATTATTATTATTTTCAAATAAAAATTTAGTGTATACAACTATTTTATTAGCCTCGTCATTAATAATTACGTAAATAAACGTATTTATGTATAAAAAAAACAAATTAATAAAAATTAAATGAGTATTTTAAATTGCCATCTACATAAATGCAGTTGCGAATACTTAATACATACGAAAATATATATTACATATTTACATATATGAAAAATTTCAAATATTTTTTATAACAAAAAACAAAATTATTATAAAACAAAAAAAAAATATTTTTTTCTCTTAAAATTGTGAAAAATCACAATGCAAAATTTTTAACTAAATATTTTACTTTTTATAAAAGCATTTAATTTGAAAAAGAAAATTCCCCTTAAAAAAATTATATGTTTTTCTTTCAGTGTCTTTTTTGTTGTTGATAAATACTTAAAAAGTTATAAAAAAGTAATACAAAAATAAGAACAGAAAAATATTAATAAAAATGCCTTTATTTAATCCGTAAAATATGTATTTAAAATCCAAAACTAAATATAAATAAAAAATGAAAATAAATTTTCTCTTTAAATTCAATAAAACTCAAAATCTTTTTGTTTTTCTTTCTATAATGCATGGTCAATGTGCAGTGGTTTAATTTGGAAAAATTGTCGAGGCCTAATACAGATATAAAAGGTTAACTAAAATTCTGATCAGATTCCGATTAATTTTCTTAATACTAGAAATATATGTTTAATATTTTAATAAATACTTATTAAAATCAGAATCGAGTTTTTACTAAATTTATTTCACTATTTTCTGAATCAAAATTCGAATATATTAACTGCAAATATATTAATCTTGGTACTGCCGAAATCGACCGGGAGGGGTTTTCTTTTAATAACATCGTTTTGTATCAGGAAATGTTCTAACATTCAACATACGGATGATCGTAACCTTTTTTTTTATCAGTTTTTACTTGCAATTCTATTCTATGAATTATATTCGATTGGGTCTTGGCAATGCGAAGGTTAAAAAAGAAAGGTGCATTAAAAAGAGTTTACTATATAAAGTTTAAAAAACTATATAAAGTAAAAAAACTATAATAATAGTTTTATTAATATCAATTAATTTTTTTATAATTTTATTTTTTCAAAAATAACGTTTTCTTCGCAATATTTTGAATGGATTGCGGCATTCACAATGAACGCAATATGTTATTTATAAATTTAATACACAAAAATTTATTTTTAGAATTAAATATACAACATTTTCAATTCTTTTACTGACAGTGTTTGCTTCGGGGAGGCTATGCACTAAAATCTTAAATATCTTATTATTTTTTTTTGGTTATTTAATAAAAATTTTTTTAAAAGAAATAATTTTGAAATATGGAGGATATTGCCGATAATACTTATCAGCAAATTTGCAGTGCCCGCACTGTACAATCGGATAAAAAAGGTTTCTTCAATGAGTTCTATTTGGAAGTGAAAGAATCATGCGGTGAAAAATGGCTAAAAAATTATTTTGGTAAATTGAAATCGAATGAGGCACGTATTCTGTCAATATTCAGTGATCGTGAAATATGTGATCCCGTATTGGGTGTATTGGAAAATGTTCAACCGGTATTTAAGGAAAAAGATGCGGTTTTTTCATCGCAACGCCGTTTGCAGGCCGATAAATATCATTTAATGTGGACCAGTTCAAATAAGAAGGAAGAATTGCAACAGGCCTTGGCCTTGGCTAATTTGGCGGTTATGCGTGCTCCCGCTAAAGGTTTGAAATTATAGCAAGTGCTTAATTTTTTTTTAATTATTATATATTTTTTATAGGAGTTGATATGCAAATAGATGATGGTTTGAGTTTAGCTTTGGCTTTAAGATCCAGAGCTGTAATATTGCTAGCTTTAGGAGAAGGTGAACAGGCCTTAAGCGATTTGAAGTTGGCTGTATCTTTTGGTTTGGATTGCAAACAAAGTATAGATTACTATATCAAAATGGCCAAAGCCTATGCCTGTAATTATTATTTGGTTAAAAAAACAACTTTACTTAAATATTAGTTAATTTTCTCTTTTACTGCATAAAAATAAAGGTATGGGTGAATTAACCAAGGCCGAGATATCCTTAAAAATAGCTGAAAAATTTGCTGGTGGTGGTAATGCTCTTATTGATGCCTGCCGTCAGGAGTTGCCTTTAATTAAGGTAAATAAGAAAAAATCTACAAAAATAGCACCCTCTGTTACGCATGGTGAAAATGAAGGTCTGAGAGGGGCTTCCAATTTGGTTAAACTGGTAGAAACTAAAGATAAAGGTCGTTTTGTGGTAGCCAATGATGCAGTTAAGACTGGTGATGTTGTGTTGAGTGAAAATCCAGTTGCTGCTTGTCTTTTACCAACATTTTTTGGCAGCAATTGTCACCATTGTTTTGAAAAGTATGTATTCCAACTTTGCCTTAGTGAATACAATTTACAGTTTCTCTATTTATAGATTGATTACTCCGGTGCCTTGCTTAAACTGTTCGGGTATTGCATTTTGTTCGGCTCAGTGCATGGGAGAAGCTTGTGATACCTATCATCGTTTTGAATGCGAATACATGGATTTGTTTATAGGTGAGATCAGCTCCTTATTTCAATTTAAAAATCTCAAAATGCTTATTTTATTTTAGGTTCTGGCATGTCTATTCTATGTTATATTGCTTTGCGTGTATTTACCCAGTCGCCGAATTTGGAAGCTGCTCTTAATACTTCCAATTTGTTGTATCAGAACTTATGTACTCACGAGGATGCCAGACAGGCTGATGATTTGTTGCAACGTTCTTTAATGTCGGCTTTCCTATTGAGGTGTTTGCAAAAGGCTCAGTACTTTGGAAGGCGTAAAACCGAAGGAGTAAATCCCACAGCAGTTGAATTACAAGTTGGTACAGCTCTTTTGGGTTTGCTGGAAGTTCTTCAGTATAATGCCCACGAAATCTATCAAACAAATACAACGGATGAACATTTGTTCGATGGTTCCCGGGTGGTGTATGTGGGTGCTGGTCTCTACGGCACCGCAGCTTATTTCAACCATGAATGCTGGCCTTCAGTGGCCAGATATTTTGTGGGCAAAAAGTTAATATTAGCAGCTACAAAACCTCATCGTCCCAATGAAATTGTAGCAGAAAATTATGGTCCAGTTTTCACTAAAGTGAACTTAAAAGAAAGACAGCGTGCTCTTAGAGGACGCTACCTGTTCAGTTGCAGTTGTATGGCTTGTCAAGAAAATTGGCCAACGTTACAGAAGTTGGACAAGCAAGTAAGATTTTGGTAAGTCTTATAAAATTCCAATTATAAAAGTATTTGAAAATTCTTTGTTTACAATTTCAAGGTGCGTTTCCCCTAACTGCAACAATGTTTTGCAATTTCCCAAAGATCTCAGTAAAGATGTCAGGTGTGTACGTTGTCGCAAAAATGTTTCGCTAAAGGAGAGTGTGGCTAAAATGATACAAATTGAAGAGTTATATCGTGAAGCGGCCCAGGCTATGCATGAACAAAAGGTGGAACAAGCCATTGACATGTTTAAAGAAGGCATTGAAATGTTCTTCCAAATTGCTGTCTTACCACACAAGGATACTTTAATCGCACAAAATGCTCTGACAAAATGTTTAGCTGCCCAGGAAAAATGAGAACACTACTTAAAAGAATTATACATAAATATGAATAAATGATAATCTAAAAATGTTAATAAAATTTGACACAATTTTCATAAAATTTGTAAAAAGAAAAAACCGTAAAATTGATTCCATATTACTTCCCTATTTTCGGTATAACTGAATTTTTAAATTCTGTTTTTAGGTCCAATATTATAATATATAGAAAACTCAAGAAGTACCAGTTGAAGTACGAAAAAGTACCAAAATACCCATTTTATTTAATTTCATGTTCCTAAGTTCAATATTATAGAAAATTCAAAAAGTACCAGTTAAAGAACGAAAAAGTACCAGAAAATACTCCAGTTTAAATTTTCATTCCGTCAAGTCTCTGATTGCTTAGTTTTACGTTTCTAGGTTCATTATAATAGAAAACTCAAAAAGTATCATTTGAAGAACGAAAAATTACCAAAGGGCGCCTTTTATAGATTCTCATTAACTCCGGGCTCCACATGCTTAATTTAATGTTTCTAAAATCAATATTATAAAAAAAACACAAAAAATACCTTTTAAACAACGAAAAAGTTCCAAAAAGTAATCTTTTATATGTTCTCACTTACTCCGTGCGTGCTCTACGTGCTTAATTTCATGTTTCTAAGTTTAATATTATAGAAAATTCGATAAGTACCTTTTGAAGAACGAAAAAGTACCAAAAAGTCCACTTTTATAGATTCTAATTTACTCCGGGCTCTACATATTTATTTTTATGTTTCAAGGTTTAATTTTATAAAAAACTTAAAAAGTACCAGTCGAAGTACAATAAAGTACCAAAAGTAAAGATTCTCATTTACTTGGGGCTTTAAATGCTTAATTTCATGTTTCTAGGTTAAATTTTTATAGAAAACTCAAAAAGTAACAGTCGAAAAAATACCAAAAAGTCCGAATATCCAAAAAGTACTAAATTCATATTTTTATTTTTTCGTCAAGTTATGAAGGAGTCAAAAATAATGTTTGAATGTTCACTGGTTTAAAAGATACATGGGGTGCAAAAAAGTACCAAAATAAAGTTTTGAATGCTTATTGGGTATAGTGTGACAATTATAAGGGATCTAAAGTCCCACAATGGTTAGTACCAATATTTTGCCCAAACAACATCTACATACATATATAAGACGACAACCTAGCCAGGTTATATCCTCTAGGTCCGAGAAGACATTCTCTACAAAGTTATAAATTTGTATAAAAGGCGGCTTACCAATTGTTTCTTGTAAATATTCGGCCACCCTAATGTTTGGAGACAACAAGAGCGCTCTATTATGGGTGTATGGTAGTGATTCTGCTGAGATCAATGGTATAATAATAAGTATGTATCCTTGTGGTAACCCCTGGAAACGGCAATCAGCGTCCATCCATTGCCTCTAGGTGATAATATACCATGTCACCACTAGCTGACTGACCACCACCCGCAAAGGTGACTAGGGAGGTATACAACTGCCACTCTCTTGTGGGCATTCTTCCAGGAGACCATCATGATGCCACCTCTTTCTTAAAAAGAAAGACGTTCTTTAGAGACAAATAAATAATTAATTAACATCATTACTTACATTTTTTAATCTTCTAGATCTCACAAACAGGCCAAATCAATCAATATTTTTAGTATTTACACTTAAATACTTTTTCAATAAACAATTATGTTATTTTCAATAACAAAAATATATATATTTTATAACGTTTTTAAAAAAAAATTCAAACATTTTCCAAACTGAACACGTTTGTTACAAACTCAAAATGTATGTAAAATGGCAGATGATTAAATAAAGAATTTGCAAAAATTGGCGCGAAAACATCCAACTGCCCGCAAAAAATTGCAGAATTTTTCCTTCAAACAGATTTTGTTTGATGTCCCATTTAAAATACATTTGTTTGACGACCTAGGAAACTCTGGTTTGTCAAACGCAATGTATTTTTCGTATCTCGTGTTTGCTACAAACACAAAGTGTTTGAAGTAAAAGCAGCGACTGTTGCTGTCATTAACAGTAGAAGAGAGCCCGCGCTTTTTATGCAGTAAAGGTTATTGTGAATGAAAATCAAACAGCTGTGAAAAATATTGTGAATATAACCGGTGTTGTGCATAAACAACAAATTTTTGTTTATTTTACAAAAATAAATTATTTTGGAAAAATCAGAGCAATTTTAAATATTTTAATTACAAAATGATGAATAGACCTAAACCAGGTGAAACCGAAGAGGATATTTTGCGTATGCAGCAAAAGTTTCTATCGGAAAAGGCCAAAAATCCAAAGATACAGCCGGCAGCACAAATTGTGAAAATTGAAAAACGTGAGTTAATTGTAAAAAAAAAATATGCGAATTATTACAAATCATTAACTTTTATTAATTACAGAACCTAAGAAATCCTTATTTGCTCAATTGCGACAACAGAAACAATCGTCTGCTCCTACACCTGTTAAAAATGAGGAATCGGCAAACGAAAAGCTCATCTATGATGAAATTCATCACAAAATTGTAGGTGATCAAAATGAGAACCAAACAATAACCGATATTATAATGGGTGATATTGTGGAAAATAATGTACAACAGCCGAAACCATATATAGCTAACGAAGTAAAGGAAGCTGCAGCGTTTCCTAAAATTCAAAAAATTAACCTTAATGCTGCGGAAAGTCGGCCTTCAAAAGGTAAAAGTTTATTTGCTCAAGTTATGGAACAAAAATCTAAACAACATGTTGACACAATGGAATGCGATGAACCTGCAGCTGACGAGAAAAACGCTAATTTAACCGCTATGTATGGCGAGAAAAGTGTTATAGTAGAAGACGCCAAAACAGCGGAGGAAGTTCATAAAGAGAACTTGAATATGCTGTGCCAATTGAGGGAGGAAGAAATATTGGCAGAACGCAAAAAACTATTGGAATCTATAGGTAGAACATATAGCACACTATTTTAGGACTAAAGCAATAGTGATATTTTTTTTTTTCAAATTTAAAGATCCTGCCCTAGTTGCCTTATTGGCTAACAAAAGAAAAGAAAAAACTCAAGCAAAACTACAAAGTTCTTCAACTTCAAATAACCCGGAGGCTATGGATACATCTTGCAGTAATATTAAAACAGAAGATAATGCCTTAAAAGATTTACCACCTTCAAACCCTGCTGTTGATTTGATAGAACGTTCTGCAGCCGAGCAATGGATACATTTTGATGTTGTTGAAAAAGATAAACTCGAATGGATGCGTGATATACCAATGCAGGCTAGCAAACTGAAAGCGGGAGAAAAATTTGAAGCACGTTTTGATTGGAAGGGGGTGCTACTGCCATATTCATTGGCAGATGTCAAACAGAAACCAGACAATGATACCGATGATCGTGAACTGTATTTGCATGGTGATGAACCTCACCGTCCGGGTTATACTTTACAAGAATTATTTCGCTTGGCTCGTTCGAATGTTATGCAACAAAGAGTGTCAGCATTTAATGCCATTGCAGGGATTTTGAACATTTACCAACAGGGCTTTTACGACCAGGTCTTGGATTTACCCATAACAAAGATTTTCTTCCTATTAAGATTTGGTTTTGATGACAATACGCCTGCTATGCTGGAGGTAGTGGGAAAAGCTTTAGCTTATCTATTTTATAATGAAACAGATGAGGTAGGTTTTATCATCAAGGCGGGCCTAAACAATTTATATTTTATGTTGTAACTTTCTACCTTTAAGACACTACTTGATTTTACTTATGAAAATCCAGGTTGTCATTGGCAACCTTGTCTAGAAGTCTTAAATACCAACACAGATTCAGACGATCCCGACTCAATAGATAATCTGCAAAAACATTTGCAGCAATTACAAGTCAATTTAAAGGGAGCCGCTATCAAGGCCAATATTGAAGAAAACGAAGAAGAAAGTAAAACTTCTATGAGTGATTTTCAACTAGCTGAAACCGATCTAATTGATTGTTTTTTAAGAACTAATATATTACAAAGAATCTAGTAAGTACACATTACTTAAAACTATTTAATTATTTATTAAAATGTGTGATTTTTAAGTTTCATACTAAACTGTGTTAAGCCGGATAATAGCACTGTTTCTTCTTGCTTAAAAATTCTAATACGTTTGGCTCGTTCTGGCAAAGAAGTAGCCTTACAGATAGTTAATAATGATGGTTTAATGCATTGTTTATTTGAAAATTTCCTGCCTGGTTTGGAAAAAGTTGGTAAGTTTTTTTATTTTTTCTTTAACATTATACATTATATTACTTTTTCTTGATTTTTTTAGACACCTCACTTGAAACGCCACCCTTTTATAACTATCCTCAGTACTTGTGTTTGAAATTGTTACGTATTTTAGCGTCATGTAATTTGGGTATTGCAGTCAAATTAATTAATTTTAAACTAATAGATATTTTGGAAAATTATCTCTTTAATAGGGATGATATAAAGGTAAAGTAAAAATTATATATAATATTTTGAAAAAATATTTATTAAAATTTCTCTTTTAGGGTAAACTAATCAAAGTTCAAATTGAATCATTGCGTATTTTAAGATGTTTATTTTTATTAAGAGTGGAAAATAATACACTTTACAGGTAAATACAATTAAAATTTTTGACTTTAATCAAAAAGAAATTCCAAATCTTGTTTTATCATGAGAGGATTATTATCAACATAGCACTGCAAAGTATTAAAGGCAATATTACATTTGTCACTTCCCTCTGTAATGAAATAGATAATGATGAAAAATATGCAATTTTTTGAGAAATACAAACACTATTTACCTTTTGTGCCACAACTATCCGATAACATTGTTAATGTTGGATGTAATTCTTCCGGTAGGACTTGTGTTAAAAGTTCTATACGTATTGTATTGCTTTCATCCATCTAATTAAGAATATAATTTTCAATTTTCAATTTTCATTTCATTATTTGTTTTCATTAAACTTACTATTCCAATTATATCGAATATGCACTGTACATAACATTCAAAATTTTTATTTTTGGGCAATTCTCCCTTTAGACTTGATCTAATGACATCTGAAAAATTAATAGAAGAGAATGGATGATTTAATCAGGCTTTTAAATTATTAACTGAAGGTGACAGCGCTACGTTACCATCTGGTGTTTCT